TGGTCTCTGCAGGCCAGTGAGGAGGAAAGATCACATACCGTGGACCTCCCCAGGGAACATGCTAAGGCAAACCTCCTGGCCTGGATTAAAGGGGAGATGAGAAAGGAAATTAGGGAGGCCTTGCAGGAGGCCAGACAAAGCCATTCCTCAGCCAGGTCCTCAGGCAGAGGAAGGCACCCCACTGGGGACAGCGCCCACAGGGAAAGAAGAGCAGAGAGTGGATCTTCTCCCCTCACCATCCCAAATGGAAAAGGCATGACAACCCTTCCATAAGCAGTAGGGAACATAGTCCTTTGCTAAGCCTTTCTGGTGAGGTCTCTGGAGACTTAGACATCCTCTAATGAGGAAGTTAAACCTTTGGAGGAAGAGGCGGCTGCAGTAACCACCATGCAGTCACATGTTTTTCCCCATGATTTGTATGCAAAACTGCTTCCTAAGGTGCTGCATGTTTTAGAAATCTCACATAAGACCAAGGGAAAGGAGGAACAAGACCCAGATTTCCCAGACAGGTTGGATAAGTTTCTTCCTAAATCAGAGGTTAATCCCTCAGGGATCCCACTCTGAGCAGTATTTTACAATGTGATCAAAACTGAATGGGAGACCCCAATGAAATCTAAGGCTAACCATCCTATTTTCTCTTACATTTTACTTGTTTGTGCTATAAACCGCAAAGAGATTCAAGCTTTCTCTAGTTGATGACCCAGTGGCAAGTCTGTGTTCTACCTTGGTTCTTCCAATAAAGGTGGATGGTTTTCCCAAGGACCCCTGTGACAGGTGGATAGAGCAACCCCTACACACAGATTTTGATGTCTCTGTGACATCCTTGAGGTGTCTACAGCATGCTTCTTGTTTGCCAGGACCACGTACTCTGGGGCATCAGGCCTGGCAGTGGCTAACAGTAATGTTCCCAGAGAGCTCAAGGACAAGATAAAGAAGATTGCCCTAGCCACAGCCATTGTAGCAGATGCATCCTTGGACACCCTTCAGCTTTCAGACAGAGCCATGACCTCCAGCATTGCAGCCAAACGTAATACCTGTCTGAGGAGTTGGGAAGTGGATCCCTTGGCTCAGGCCAAAGTTATTTGTTAATTGCTGAAAATGAAAATGAAAAACATTTAAAAGGCATCAATCTCTTTGAAGAAGGTATGGACAAATACCTGGTGGAGGACAAAGGCAAGAAAAAAGCATTACCTTCTCGGAAAAAAGACATCAAGCCCAGAAACCGCTCCCAGTCCTTTGGAGAGTCCAAGCATTCTTCACGTGCTGGTTCATCCAGGCCTTTCAAAGGAAAACGCAGTCCAAGCAGCAAGAGGACAGTAGAATACCTCCCTTCAGCAAATCTGGATCAAATCTGAAGGGATCCAAGAAGGCATCCTGAACATAACTATGCTGGGTCAATAGACACTCCAAGAGTAAGGGGATGTCTGCAAGTGTTTGCAACCCACTAGCAACACACCATGAATGACAAGTGGGAACTGGACACAGCAGCAAAAATCTACTCCCTGGAATTCTGTGCTATTTCACCCAATAATTTCATTCAAGTGCCAAGGAATCGATCCATTCAGAAGCATCTTCTCCTGAAACAGGCCTTTCAACATCTACTGGACATTGGGGCTATTGAACCAGTGCCAGAAGTGAAGAGGGACTCAGGGGTCTACTCAGTCTTTTTCAGGTCCATTGTAGCCTCCATCCAGAAGGGAGTCTTCTTGGCATATATCAGTCTCTTGGAGGCCTACTTACATATCCCAATTAGAGAAGCCTGTTGCAGTTTCTTTCATTTTGTGTACAACGGAAGGCATTTTCAATATTGGGCTCTGCTTTTTGGGCTGAAGTTTTCACCCAGGGTGTTCACCAAGGTCTTGATAGCTCTGGTAGTGCACCTGAGAATGCAGGGAGTGTCTCTGTTTCTGTACCTGGACAATCTTTTGATCAAGGCACATTCTTTTCAACAGGGTCTGGAGGATGTAAATCGAACAGTATCCTGCCTTCAGGAGCATGGATTTGTGATCAATGTGGGAAAGAGCAATCTACAACCAACTCAGATGATTCTTCACCATGGAGTATTAATAGACACTGCCCAGGGCAGAGTTTTTCTGGCTTTTTAGAGACAGAAGAAGATTCAGGCAACAGTGCAAGACATTCTACAGAGTCCCAATGTAGAACTCATGACTTTGGCAAAACTGCTGGGGCTGATGGTATCCTGTCAGGATGTTCTTCAATGGTCAAGGTTTCACACTCGCCCACTCCAGAGATTTCTACTCCAATATCAGGATGTGATTGCACACAAAAAATCCAAGATACTTTAGTTACCTGGTCCCCCAAGACAGGAGATCAAGTGGTGGGCTGTTCCTTGCATATTTCAGGAAGGGGTCCCTCTAAGGGAACCCATGAGAGTCATGATGACTATGGATGTAGTCTTACCAGTTGGGGGGCTCATTCTCTAGGAAGAATGACACAGGGCTCCTGATTGAAGGAGGAGGGTGCTTGCAGCATCAACCTGCCAGAACTCAGTCTGCTGGAGTTCCAGGATCTCCTTTCAAGGCATCATGTGTTGGTACAGACAGACAATATGACACCCAAGGCCTATGTGAACAGTCAAGGGGGCACCAGATACATGTTTCTTCATGAGGAGGCAAATACCCTAATGCACTGGGCAGAAAGTCACCTCAAAACAACTCACTAGCAGATTGGCTGAGTCAAAAGCCTCTGGACCAATCAGAATGGAAGCTGAACAAGGATGTTTTTCACCAGGTTTGTCACAAATTTGGCAAGGTGCAGGTGGACCTCTTTGCCATGGATCAGAATTGGCAAGTTCCAAGCTTCATGGTGAGAACAAGAAATCCTCAGTCCATTGGAGTAGACCCCTTGAGTTGTGAATGGCCACGACAGCTATTGTATGCCTTCAGTTCAGTTGATACAGAGAGTCATCTGAAAGATAATATATCAAAGAGTGGAAGTAGTCCTGATGGCACCTTTCTGGTGAAGCAGATCATGGTTCCAAGATCTGAAGAGACTTTCTCCCATGGCCCCTTGAGGCTTCTGTTGAGGGAGGATCTTCTTCTGCAGAGAGCAACACAACATCCCTGGCTGGCACTTCTAAGTCTCACAGGTGGGAGGTGGAATGCAAGCAACTGGCAGAAATAGGTTACTCAGAAGAAGTGATTGAGACCATGTTAGCCTCCAGAAAGGGATCCACAATTAGAAGTTATAACAACACCTGGCAGGTGTTCCAAACCTGGTTCCAGAAACAGGGGATGGACCCTTTCTCAGCACCGATTGGTAATGTACTTGCCTTTCTGCAGGAGGGATTAGATAAGGACCTTAGTACTAGCACTCTTAAAAGGCAAAGTTTGGCTATTTCAGCTGTGAGGAGCACCAGGAGAGGGAAATCCTTGACCCAATATCCTCATATTAAGAGGTTCCTGCAGGGAACTTCCTTATTAAACCATCCACAGGTGCACCATTTCCCCACTTGGAATTTGAATCTGGTGCTGAAGGCCTGTCCAAAGTTCCCTTTGAGCCTATGGCCTTGTGCCCAGTCAAGGAATTATCATTTAAGACCACCAGCAGCAGCAGCTAGATGGGTTTCTGAGCTGAGGGATCTTTCTGTGGATAGAGAACTATGTGTGTTCCATAATGATAGGGTAGTGCTGTAGCCTGATCCAGCTTTCATACCAAAAGCAAATTCCACCTTCCATAGGACAGAAGAAGCAATTCTACCCTCTTTTTGTCCCAATCCTAAACACGATAAGGAGAAAGAGTGGCATTGCCTTGATGTAAGAAGGGCTTTAAGCTTCTATGTTGATAGGACTGAACAGTTTCACAAGACTGACTCTTTATTTGTGTCTTTTAGGAAGTCTGTGTTGGGACAAAGAGTATCCACATTCACTCTCAGTAGATGGATCAGGGGGTGCATCATCCTGGCATATAAAGCTGTGGATCTGGATCTGCCACAGGGCATCACAGCCCATTCCCTTAGGGGGCAGCAACCTCTGCAGCCTGTAGATCTTTTCCTTCTTTGGAGACAATTTATAGGGTGCTACTTGGAGGTCTGTATATTCTTTTATCAAACATTACAGAAAAGACATAGCGGCCTCAGCAGAAGCAGCCTTTGGCAGGAGGGTCTTACAGCACACCCTTTATGCCAAGGAGCTGGTTTTCCCACCCTGGGGCACACTGCTTTTCTATGTCCCAATAGTGTGGGCTGCCCCACTTCTAGGACCACTGGAGAATGGAAGATTTGTTTTCACTTACCATGAATCTTCCTTCTTGGTGGTCCAGGAGTGGGGAAGTCCTACCCATTCAAGGTTTTGTCTCAGGTATAGCTCCTAGCACGTGTGGGGTCTGCTGTTTGGAAATAGGTTGTTGGTCACTCTTACTATAGGTCTGGTAAGGGCTGTAAGCTGCTGGTAGGATTGGTCTAGCTCAGCCAAAAGTTCCTTTGTCGTTAGTGTTAATTGTTAGTTTGGAAAGGTTTCAAAACTGTTTCCTTTCAAGTTATTGGTTACCTTTTTGAGGGAGAGTCATGGTTTGGGAATGGACTGAAGCCTCCAGGGACAAGCCCTTCCCCTCCTGGATTGTGAAAGCTAGTCAACCCTGCCTGCAGAGAGGAGGAGCTATATCCCAATAGTGAGGACTGCCCCACTCCTGGACTATCGAGAAGGAAGATTCACAGTAAGTTAAAGCAAATCTTCCATGCTCCAACAGTAGTGCTGCATCCACTATAATCTCTGGGCTGAATCCAATCAAAAGGAAAGTGCACAGTGTCCTTCAAGATCTCAGTTTTCCAAAAGGATATGTAAAAATGGGAGGCCCTATACACACGCACACACACACACACCCCTTTTGCCTTTTATTTATTTATGATTCCCAATAATCTTTTGGGATGCAGAACATTTTATAATTTTGAGCAATCCTGTATGTGTGCTTATATAATGCTGTAGGTAGAGAGCTATTTTCTATGGGCATTTATCTGATTATTGTTTTTGCATTATACACAGTGCACCTAGTGGACATTTGGAATGTAATAGAAGCACTGCGGGAAAATTCTCTGAACAACTTGGATCCGAACATAGAGCTGAACGTAGCTCGACTGGAAGCTGTATTATCCACAGTTTTTTACCAACTCAACAAACGCATGCCAACGACCCATCAGATCAATGTAGAGCAATCCATCAGTTTACTACTCAACTTCTTGCTGGCAGCTTTTGATCCGTAAGTTTGTATTGACAACTGCAAACACTGGTGTTGTTCATTTACCATAGGAAAACATCTTAGCCTTAAGGTAATTAAGATTTGGGTAATATGGCCAAACTAGACATTACACAGACATGTGTGACCTTATTATTTAGGGGATTTATATGATGCTTCACCAAAGACCTGTTTGGGACACATTACCCTACCGGCACTTTATAAACAGAAGAAGCTGCTTCTGCAGAAGGAATTGGAAATGAACAATGGGAGGAGGAGCTTCTGACTGCCCTCCATTTTTGCCCACCAAACTGGCCTCCAGCAGCTTGTTCTTGTATAGAGTTCCAGATATGGACACATACATTTGGAACCCTATAGGTGAAAAACTGCTGAGATGCAGTTTGGAGGAGGCAAATGATATGTAAGAAAGGGTTAAGCAACAGAGAGAGAGAGAGATTCTCTGGTCGCAGTCACCTCTCTGGAAATGGCTTTTCTTGATTTTAAAAAAAAGGTCATTGGGGTAACATTATATGAATGTGCATGCAATGTCTAGTTTGGTAGAACGCTTCAAAAATGCAAAATTGTTCCATTCTTCAGATATTATTGCTAGTAGAAACATCTGCAGTAGTGTTTGTTCTGTGGCAGTGGCATGAGGTTAGTGGTTTATTGTTTGAAGAAAAACCTCTATTTTGATACAAGCTTTCACAGCTGTGAGCAATTTCCCCCTTTTTTCCTGTTAGTATGGCAAACTGTGAGATTCCAATAGGGGAAAAAAGCATGCCTAAAACTTTGTCTTGGAATGCCTGGATTTTTTAAAAAAGTGAATTTATGGCAAAGAGACATCCCTAATGTCACCTTATAGTCGGGCATTCTGTGTGTATATATGAAAATTATGGTAACTGAGCACAGCATTGATCATCATGTTACGGGCATTTCTGAAAGCATCTGAGTAGGCTGAGATTTCAAACTGGATTGACTGGGATCTGCTTTATACTTTGACAGGTGCAAATTTTCTGTTACCTCTTTACAGTTTTATATTATGAGAATGAACTGGTTGGAAATCCACATTACTAAAGAATCACTAAAACAAGTTTCCTTATCTCCTTGCTTTCCTACCCATCTCCCTCTCAGCCTCCTCCTTGATACACACTTGATGGACTTTTTGCTTGGCATTGTGTACCTTTCAGAGCCAGATCAACTAGTATAGCTTAATCACCATGGTAACCACTGAGTAGAGGGAAGGCAACTGTTCCACATGACAAAGCAGCAGAGGCACAGTGTGCCTGCATCCAACCACCCCTCCTGCCATCTCCAAGGATAACTTGTCAGGAGGCTGTGAAACTGTGGCCTTCATGATTTGTGAAAAGGCTGCACAAAAACGAATGTTTCTTTTTAATGCATGCAAACCCCCGAATTCGTGACTCGAGCAGAAAGGAAGCTAATTGAAAATGCCTGGACACGTGTTTGGGCTCATTGCCACTAAGTTGCCCTAACCCACCCCCAGCAAGCCCAACGCTGTGAAAAGGAGATCATTCATAATGTACATTTTGTTCTGGAGTTCAGTACTGCAAGGCTTAACAGATGCACCCAGACTCATGCCACTGAGGGAGAAAGTGGAGAGTAAAGTGCAGTTCCTGTAAATGACAAGGTAAAATATATTATTAATCCACCATGGTTCTTTACAGTGTTCAGTCACCAGCATGTGTCTGCATTAGGTAAAAAATGGCACAACACTGAATCACTACCCAAACAGACCTCAGATTGCGTCCTAAAATGCTAATTTTTTTAAATGTTCATGCTGTAGAGGTGTTGCATCTGTTCTGACACAATGCTTGGAATTAGAGATTGGAATGATAGAGGAGTGAATGGAAGATCTGGAAAGGAGGTTCAGTGAACTGTATGGCCAAGTGAAATGAATGAGGAGTCCCAGACAGTCCACTAAGGGAAAGAAAAAGAGAAGAGGAATAGCATATTCACCTAGGGCAGCAAAATGTCAAGGTCTTGCCATGGCTAAGTCAGTTGGGACCACAAAAATATTATGTGGTGGAACAGCCCTGCTCTGGCCTGCAGGCCATGTTCCACCCTGCCCTCCTGGGTTTTCCCAACACCTGGAGGGGCTTTTATCTCTCTGTGTCCAACCACTGCCACCCCCTGACCTTTGTAGGAATTGCCTACTGGGAAGGTCAGGACTCCCAGCTTCCCTTCCAAGTTCTGAGGCCTTGCCTCTGTGTCTCCTGCTACCCAGAGGCTGCGATTACACACACTAAATAATCCACTTTCAATCCACTTTCCAGCTGGATTTTACTGTGTGAATCAGAGTCTGGTTACCACGGGGACAGCTTGCTGCCTTGTGCACCACTAGGAGAGTAGCCGCTTGCCAACTGACTGCCCTCCCCTTCCTCCTGGCACTCCTTTTAAAATAACGTGTCCAAGACAGTGGAGGTCTGTGTAGCACAGAGAACCACTACCAGGATCAAAAGTTATAAAGCATTTATTAAAAAGAAAGTGTTCACAAGCATACTTTTAGCACAGCACCAGACTGAGCAAGGGATTCAAAAGGAAAGAGTAAAATGCAATTCCTCTCCCCCTCCCTCTATACATCAGTTGTTAAATATAAAGTTGTTAAATATAAATATAAATATCAGTTGTTAATTATAAAGCAGGCTCCTTAGTTTCGAAAGTTAACAGATTTTTTATAGGAGTCCCTTCAAGCCTCCTTCATATGTGCAGGCCAGCACATGGCAATAGCTGCCTCCTCCAGACCTCAGTTAAGAGTTCTGTCTGCTTTGATGGAATCAGCACCAAAAAGCCGTTCCTCCTTGCTCCCAGAACTTTTATCATCTCTCTTTTCCCCACCCACTAACCAGGTCAGGCTGGGTGAAAGAAGCTTTTCCTGAAGTCTCCAGGGGTTTCTTCCTGAAGTCTTTCTAGTCTTAATTCCTCCAAATCTCTGTTCCCCGCTTGGTGGTGGTGGGGATCTTTACCATCCCATTGTCTCTTGCTAGACCTATTAGCATTTCTAAAAAGGTGGATGAGGTGAGGCTGGAAAGCAACTGAACTGACTTTCTCTTTCCAGCCTGTTTTCTGCCCAGAGAGAAAAGCTTTTAAAAACTCAGACCACCACCTAAAAATGCATTTTTCTTTTTTTTCATTTTAAGAAAACAGTGGGCGTACAGAAAAGAAAAGGGGAGAAAGCTTATACAACATAATTACATTTGTCAAAGACAATCATGTAGTTCATAATGTATAGGACAGAGAATATTTTCCCTTTCACCCCTTTCATCATAATTTTAATGTATTATCTATAACCAAAAATGTGTTTCTTCACATGTTATATGCATTACTTTTCTCATCAGATCAGTGTAGCTTATCTCAGACTTTTGTACTTGTATTTAGTGGCAGGGTTGGCGTCAGCGTACCCTGAGATGGGTCAGCTGCCAGCACCCATGACTTCTGGCTAGTCCCTCTGCTGCTTACTCCGCTACTCATGCATCTCCTCTCCTGCCTGCACTCGCACCCTTCCACTGCCTTCCACTGCCTTCCACCTAACGCTGCTGGAGAAAGGCATGGGGGTGGTGCACAAAGCATGGGCATTC